AGAGGCTCATATAAAAAAAGCAGTAAAGCTCAGTTGTGATCGTCCCCCTTCGTCCTGGACCATTGAGAACAAGCCCGAGAAGGCCCCCCAGTGAGTAGCAAACAGTCTCAGTGATTTGGCAGAATATCCCTTCTTTTGAACTTTATATTCCCAGTCTGCAAGAATCGCCTGCTTGATGCCGTATTTGACTTCCGCTCTAATCATAGGAGCTGTTAATCGTTCTCCCCTTCTCACCGCCAAATTTCTCAATGTCCACAAGGTCCATAGGATAGCTCCTCTGATTGTCTCTACTGCATAACTCATCACACTCCCCTGGCGCGTCCTACGGGCCACAGATCCCATGAGGACAAACTGGTCAGTCCACCGTGTTTCGGCTTCCGGGACAGGAACCATTCCTCCCCTCCACTAGTCCCAGAAAGGTCGGGAAAGGTCGCAAAGGAGAACGAAATGGTGCAAATCTTCAATCCTCGTCCCCGGACATATTTCACAACCAGGGAGTGCTTTAGATGTCCTCCTAGAACACCATGCCGCCACCAGAAGGGACATATGCATCAGCAGCCACAACAGGCTCGCATGTTTAACCACTGCCAAATCCATTTCCAAAACGCAGGCAGCGCTTGGGCAATTCTCAGCGATGAATCCTGAATCCAATTGGTTGCTGTCCATCTATTTGCCACTCGCCAGTTGATGTCCATTTCTGGTGTTGATAGTTGATAACCCAATTTGGTGGAATACTGATACACCGGTACAATTTGGTGTCTCTTCTGAGGGTTCTCCCATCCCCAAGCCCTAGGGTCCACAGACAATGAGTAAGCCGGTTGAGACAGGCAATACGGTCTGTAGCCATCATCATACTGCAACACACACACCGGAAGCAGTTCTTGAATAGGGGGAACTGGCAGCTGTTGCGGAGCTAAAGTAAGTTTTTCCCCAATTGACATCCCTCCTCCCTGCGTGTTCCAACAAGAAAACGAGATATTGGCCACCGGAGAATAGTCTTCCATTTTCCAAATCTCAGTCGGTTCATGATCTTGTTCCCGTTTGTACCATGTTTCCTTCTGAAATGCCAGTCCTCTGGCTAACGTTTCGACCCAGTCTTGAGGAACTGCTTGTTGCAGTTGAATCAAGTGCTCCCTCTGATGTCACAGGCCTACAAGGGCTGCAGCGAGATCTGTAAATGGCTTCCAGTCCGCTCTGTTCACATCCCAAATATCAGCAACAGTCCCTATGCCTCGCGACATCCACGCGTCCCCGAAAGCCCCGGGCCCAAAG